AACCCACAGCTGGGAACTTCAGTGTCTGAGCTCGATTTTATCACTGAAGAGGCACTTTCATCATTTAAAATTACTGCTTTTTTTTTTTTTTCTTTTTAATGGAAATAACCCTAATATATACACGTAGAAATAGCAGAAAAGATCAACTGAATTTGGTTAAGATGTACATTTTTTCTATTAGCTTTCACTTTTTGAATTTAGGGTAAAATGAAACTAGCTAAATTCCTAAGTTGTATTCAAAGTCCATGCAGTTTTTAGTTTGTTGAAGACAATTATAAAACAGTGACTACCTCAATTTTTCAAAATAGGAGTTATAAAATACTTTCTGATGTCAGTGGGTGATTGGTTTTCTCTCATGAAAAACAAACTTTCAGATCTGGTAAGCTAGGAACTGCTGGGGCATTCTAGTTTTAAAAGGCTAATTTGTGAGAAATTAACTTCATATACAGTCATTTCTCTGCAAATGATTAAAATCCATACACTTGTTCTCCCTCTTTTTTTTTTAATCCTCACTTGAGGATATTTTTCCATTGATTTTTAAAGAGTAGAAAGGAGGGGAAAGACAGAAATTATTTTTTAAAATATATATTTTATTTATTTTTTTACAGAGAGGAAGAGAGAGGGATAGAGAGTTAGAAATATCGATGAGAGAGAATCATCGATCAGCTGCCTCTTGCACACCCCCTACTGGGGATGTGCCCGCAACCAAGGTACATGCCCTTGACCGGGATCGAACCCGGGACCTTTCAGTCTGCAGGCTGATGCTCTATCCACTGAGCCAAACCGGCCTCGTCCATAAATTATTTTCTTAATATTTTTTGAATAGATTGATCCCTTTCTTTTACTATCTTTGCCATTTTCATTTTTATCACCTAGTTCCAACAGTGATAACAATTTGTAACTTGTTCCAACCTAATCCTTCTTGATGAGATTTATTATCCAAAAGCACAGCTGTGCTGATCTCATTGCCTCTGAAACCTTTTTGTGCTCCCATTGGCTCACCTGTCTTTAACCAGGCACATACGACCCTGTATCTGACCTGTAGCTCCTGTATCACTCACTGCTCCCCATGAAAACACTGAGAGCAGCGCCCAAGTCAGGCCCATCTTTTCTGACCCCTTGCCCAGCCCTCAGTGGAAGCCTTGTATCTTTCCTTTGACACTGAGTCCAGATGTGACATGAATATACGTAAAGGGCCTTCCCAGTGTCAAAGCTCATAGGAAAAGTTTAGTAAATAGCAGTGTTTCAGTTATTTCCTGGGATGATACTGTCCACATGGTAGTTGTTTAATAACTATTAACCAAGTAAAGAAACTACTCAAAATATGATTTCTTTTTCCAGAAACCTATATATAAGATCTCTCACTTCTTTAGCAATTTGAAGAGACTACAAGGTAAATCACTTAGAAAATTTTTGAAGGTTCCTAAACAGCTCTGGCCAGTGTTGCTTAGTGGTTAGACAAGCCTATGATCAAAGAGTCTCAGGTTCAATTCCCGGTCAAAGGTACATATCTGGGTTGCAGGTTCACTCTCCGCTACCCCCACCCCTAGCCTTCCCTGTCCTTACATTGATTATTTTTCTCTCTCCCCATCTCACCCTTCTTTCTGCTCTCTCTAAAATAAAAAAATCAATAGAAAAAAGACCCTCATGTGAAGATTAATAACAACAAGAAGTGTTCCTAAACATATAAGTAATGAACAAATGTGATTATCAGAAATAATTTAGAATTTGTCATTAAGAACATTTTTTTAGATTCTTTTCTTCCAAAGAGAACAGTTTTTAATAGGCCTGTACAAAGATTGTTTCCCTCTTTGCTACCATCGATTGTAAATAGCTGTATTATTTTATTTATTTAAATTAACATTAAGCTTAAAATTTAGTTCTGTTTATTCTGAGTTGAAAATCTCCCATTAGTGTTTGGCCAAAAGAAATACAATACAGTATACTTAAATATTTTTATCAATATATTTTTATTGATTTCAGAGAGGAAGGAAGAGGTAGAGAGAGATAAAAACATCCATGATGAGCCGAAACCGGTTTGTCTCAGTGGTAGAGCATCAGTCTGCGGACTGAAAGGTCCCAAGTTCGATTCCAGTCAAGGGCATGTATATCAGTTGCGGGCACATCCCCAGTGGGGGGTGTGCAGGAGGCAGCTGGTCGATGTTTCTCTCTCATCGACATTTCTAGCTCTCTATCTCTCTCCCTTCCTCTCTGTGAAAAATCAATAAAATATATGAAAGATGAAAGAAAGAAAGAAAGAAAGAAAGAAAGAAAGAAAGAAAGAAAGAAAGAAAGAAAGAAAGAAAGAAAGCAACATCCATCCATGATGAGAGAGAATCATGGATCAGCTGCCTCCTGCAAGTCCCCCACTGGGGATCAAGCCCATAACCTGGGCATGTGCCTTTGACTGGAATTGAACCTGGGACCTTTCAGTTCGCAGGCTGATGCTCTATCTACTGAGCCAAACTGGCGAGGGATGTGTGTGTGTGTGTGTGTGTGTGTGTGTTTTACAATTATTATAATGTCAGACATTTTCATTAAGATCAGCTTCATACGTACAAAAAAACACCAACCAACCAACCAATCATGATCCTCTCCACCCAACACACCCACTACTAATACTTCATTGTATGTTCTTCTAGTCTTTATTTATAGAATTGCTAGTTTAAATTATAGTGTTATCATGTTCTATGAAAAAGTGTTCACCTTTTAAGGGGTGATAAAATTCTCGTATCACGACATTTGAAAATTAGGTAAATTGCCCTATGCCTAATCTGTACTAGGCACTTTACTTGCATTTTTCTCATTTCATCCTTAAAACCTCCCAAAGGAGATTTGAATCAAATATAATATTGAACATCAACTGTAATTGAAAAATACCTTTTTAAAAAAAGATAGATTCAGTGATACAGAGTGACCGATATTCTCAAGTTAATATGGACTCTTCTCTTTAACTGGTCATAAAAATTCTTAGAATATTAAAAACAAACGAAAAACCCCTGATGGAGTAATCTATTACCACCCCCATTTATACATGAAAAAGCTGAGACTCAAAGAGGTCCAGATCCACAACTGGTAAAGGGCAGAGGTGGGGTAAGAACCAAGGCAGCCCAATCCTGGGACCAGTGTTCTTTTTTTTTCTGTTCTTTTTTTTTTCAATATGCTTTTATTGATTTCAGGGAGAGGGGGAAAAAGAGAAACATCATTGGCTGCCTCCTTCATGTCACCTACGGGGTACCAAGCCTGCAACCCAGAATTGAATTGGCAACCTCCTGGGGCGTGGGTCAACACTCAATCACTGAACAACACTGGCCAGACTTGGGACTTGTGTTCTTACCTACTGTGCCTGCAAAGTGTAAACTGAGCTCTGTGGATCAGTGTGACTGAGTTACTTTTTTTTTTTCCTTTTCATAATAGCAACATTAAGAAACTCACCCACTAGTGCCTATACTGTGATAATACTGGGAACACAATAAGTAATCATTTTTTAGCCCCTGTTTACAACCACACACCATCCTAACCACTTTACTGTCACAGTCTCTAATCCTCACAGTAAGTCTTGAAGGTTTTGTACTGTTACCACCATTTCATAGCTGAGAAAAAAATCTCAGGGAGCTCAGGAAATTTTATGCAGTCACAGCTAGTGAGTTGGAGAGTTGAGATTCTAACTCCATGGTATTCTCCACCATACTGCCTCTTAATCAAAAAGTCTCCTGAGACCCAGCTGAGAATAAGAAGAGAATGGATCCTTTTCCATTTGCATATTAGTGATATTAGCATATTTCTCTGGGACAAATTGGCCAGATCCAGAGGGCATGATATGCATGTTTGGGTTGATTTGGGGAAAAGGGTAATATTGAGCCATGGTGGGGTTGATCGGGCACAGAGCATCTCGGAAACAAGGCTTCACTCACTTCCTGGAACTGCTCCTGTGGGAGCCTCTGAAATCGAATGCTTATAAAATAAATAATTGCCTAAAGGAAAGGCAGATTTATTTGGACAAAATATGTTATTTACATGAAATACATGTGTATGGGTTTTTTTTGTTAATCTGCACTCAAGGATATTTTTCCATTGATTTTTAAGGAGAGCAGAAGAGAAAGGGAAAGACAGAGAGAAACATCGATGTGAGAGAAACACATCAGTTGATTGCCTCCTGCATGAGCCCCGACCAGGGCCCGGGCCGGCGAGGAGCTTGCAACCAAGATACATGCCTTTGACTGGAATTGAACCCAGGAACTTTGATCTGCAGGCCAATGCTCTATCCACTGAGCCAAACTGGCTAGGGCTTAAATACATCTATTATTGCCAACTCCAGACATTTTACCAGGCCAAGAAGCTGGTTTATTTTAAATCACACCCACTGAAAAGATTTTAATTGAGAAAACTGAGGCTAGAAAATTAAATTTTCAGAAGAAATTAGTGAAAGAGAAGGATCTAGAATTTTCCACACTGTCACCCAAGTCTATTGAACTTGCCACTACACTATTTTGCTTTGCCTAATTTTCAAGAGTAAGACAGATAGGCCAGGAAGAAATTCAATAATGTTTATCTGGTTTTTGGAATGTGAATTTTTAGAAATCAAATTTGTCACATTTAAAAATTAGCTTTAGCCAAAACCGGTTTGGCTCAGTGGATAGAGCCTCAGTCTGCGGACTGAAAGGTCCCAGGTTCGATTCCGGTCAAGGGCATGTACATTGGTTGTGGGCTCATCCCTGGTAGGGGTTGTGCAAGAGGCAGCTGGTTGATAGTTCTCTCTCATTGATGTTTCTAGCTCTCCAGCCCTGTCTCTTTCTCTCTGTAAAAAAAATCAATAAAATATGTATTTAAAAAAATAAATAAAAGTTAGCTTTAATTGAATGGCAATAATCTCAAATACCTACTAAACGAATTGTCCTATTTCTGTTGCTGTCTCTCTTTTTCTAGATTTAATGATGCTTTACAGCAGTTTTCTAAGTCTGAAATTTTCTATGCCTGTGAATCCCACGATTTGCTAAGAGATGGAGGAGTCTCAGCAACATGACCTGCACACGATGACCTTTGAGAAAGATGATCCCCTCGAGAGCACCAGCCCTCAGATTTCTGTTAGTGAATTTTCTTGCCACTGCTGTTACGACATCCTGATTAACCCCACCACCTTGAACTGTGGGCACAGCTTCTGTCGGCACTGCCTAGCTTTATGGTGGACCTCTTCAAAGAAAACAGAGTGTCCAGAATGCAGAGAAAAATGGGAAGGTTTCCCCAGAGTCAATATTCTCCTCAGGTATGTTCAGTCGATGTTAACAGCACATACAGCTTATTCGATATGTTTCTCTTAATGGGGCAGCCATGTCTAAAAAACACAGAGATACAGAACTGACTTCTACTGCTGTCATTCTGAATTTGCTGGGATGTAAATCGGGGAGCTCAAGGACCTGAAAATCCAGACTCCCTTCCTCATAGGTGACTGTGATTTGTTTACAGTCAAGAATTTCTTGTTATCAGACCATTGCTTGTAATCCTTTGCCATATAATACATTTTAAAAATATTTTTTTATTGATTTCAGAGAGGAAAGGAGAAGGGGAGAGAGATCAGTGATGAGAGAGAATCATTGATTAGCTGCCTCCTGCACCCCCTCCTCGCCCCACACTGGGCTTTTACCCTGACGATAAGTCAAATTGTGACCTGGTTCATAGGTCATCACTTAACCACTGAGCCACACCAGCCAGGCCAAATAATACTTTTTATTGTTGTGTACTCAGTGAAAACACCCTAGGTCTAATGGGGAAAAGGCTATCTACATATAGTGCAATTGAAACTTCATGGCCCATGCACAGAAGCCGGTTTTTGGCTCTCAAAAGAAATTTTAATCATTGTACTGTTGATATTTGGCTCTGTTGACTAATGAGTTTGCCGAACACTGACCTAAGAAGTACATACATTCATTTGTTTGCATTACTTTTAAAATATTAGAGCATTACTGATAAAGCTAAAAATTTATTGACCCCATCCCCACCTCATAATCCTTCCTTCCTTTGTCCCACAGTAGCTTCAGTTATGACTTAGTTGTGATTTCTTTCAGACTTTTAAACAAATATGCGCGCCAATAAGACTTTCTCATATCCATAGTATTCTAGCTGTATAGTTCTAAAGTTTACTGTTTTCATTCAACAATATGTATGTCTTAAATTTATCCATCTTGGTAAACTGATATCTAGTAAATTCATTTTTAAAACTATGTAGTGTTCCATTGTATTAATATACTGTGTTTTATTTAGCTGTTTTCTTAATATGTCCTACTTTTTTGCTGTTTCAAAAGTACTAGAGTACTTGCATATTATTAAATATTGACAGTTTTGTTTTGGCTTTTAAACATTGTAAGTATATTTAGAAAAACAACTCTGTTGTGATTTTTTTTTTTTTTTCTGTTCTCCATAGGGATGCCATTGAAAAATTATTTCCTGATGCCATTAGGATGCGATTTGAAGACATTCAGCAGAATAATGACATAGTCCAGAGTCTTGCAGCCTTTCAGAAATATGGGAATGATCAGATTTCTTTAGCTCCCAACACAGGCCGAGTGAATCAGCAGAGAGGAGGGGGATTCTTTTCAGGAGTGCTCACAGCTTTAACTGGTGTGGCAGTAAGTTTATAACTTTTTCACTGTCCCCACCCTCCCAGGGTTTCCACTGAAGCCAGTTCTGTTTAAATAACCTAAATGATTGATGACATAGCTGTTTGTGGTAAATTCAGCACAATCGTTGTAATCTGCTGAGTTGTATGATTCTTTTAGGATGTTGCTTACTCAAGTAGACAACATAATAGACAAAGCCCGGTAAATGTTAACTTTCTCTCATTTCATCTTCCTCCCATTTTAGAGATGAGGAAATAGGTGACCATGAGACCATGTCTCCCTTGATAGAGTCCTGAGCACAGCCTTTTACTAACTCCCACTGTAAAGACTATTTCCTTTATTTAAGTTCCATGCTACAGAAATCTAAACGTTATAAATTTTTCAATAGAAAAAGCACATGAGTAGTCATGTTGGCCAGGATGATGGGGTCATGGGTTCAGTGTTCCCAGGCACCCTGTGAAGAGTCCCACTCCGGTCTCTCTTGCCTTACGACCCAACAGTCGGCAGAGAGTTGAGCCTGCCAAGAGTCGTGCTCCTCCGCTTCCTGGCACTGGCCTTGCCCTGCTTCTGTGTACAGACTTGGCATAATTCCCTTCAAGCTCAGCCTCTTCCCTTCCCTGCCCCACATTCAGAAACTGGCACCTCTACCTTCGCTGTGTCTTAGAAACCCTGTCACTTTTCCGCAGGTGGTCCTGCTCGTGTATCACTGGAGCAGCAGGGAATCCGAGCACGACCTCCTGGTCCACAAGGCCGTGGCCAAATGGACGGCGGAAGAGGTTGTCCTCTGGCTGGAGCAGCTGGGCCCCTGGGCCTCTCTCTACAGAGACAGGTTTTTAGCCGAAAGAGTAAATGGAAGGTGAGCAGCAAACCTTGGACGCATTTCTGACATCTTTTACACCACTTTCTTGAGACATATTTACATGCCAGAAAGTTCACCATTTAAAGTGTACAGTCAGTGGTTTTTAATGTATTCACAGATACAACAATGTTCTAGTTTTAGAACATTTTCATCGCCCCCACAAAGAAAGCTCTTACCCTTTAGCTGTCAATCCTTATTTCCCCCATCACTCTGCCCTATGTACCACCATTCTACTGTCTGTCGCTGTGGATTTGCCTATTCAGAATATTTAATACAAATGGAATTATACAATATGTGGCCTTCTATGTCTGGCTTGTTCACTTATCACGTTTTAAGAGTTCATCCAAGTAACATTTATTTTTTTATGGCTGAATAATATTCCATTATGTGGCTATACCACATTTTATTTATCCATTCTTTAGTTTGTGGATATTTGGGTTGATTCCAGTTTAGGCCTCTTATGAACAATTCTGCTGTGATCATTTGTGTACAAGTTTTTGTGTGGGCATATATTTAAGTACTCTTGGAGTGGAATTGCTGGATCATAAGTGTGTGTTTAACTTTTTGAGGAACTGTCAAACTGTTTTAAACTGAAAATACAGTGTACTAAATAGATCTGTGTCTATATTTACATATTGTGTTCATGTACACATAAACATACGTATGTGTATATGCTAGAGCAGAGGTCTCCTCAGACCACTGGTGGTCCGTGATGTCCGAAAGGTTGCCGACTGCTGTGCTAGAGTCTATTTAATTGATCTCTACCAAAATATATTTGGATTATTTCCTTTTTCCTTTATAGACAGCTTCACACAACCTTGTAGCAAGTATCTGGGGAAACTCGTTAGTATGAGGTACTCACAAGTTGCTTGAGGAGGCCTGCTATTGCCCATCAACAAACACTTCCCTTCCAGAGACTGTCCATCTTTACAGGGATCCCTCCCTTCCTTGGAGGGACTGTGTAGAGATGTTACTTAGAACACCATGCAGTGCTGAGAGTAGCTGCTTGTTTCAGACTTGGAATCCACTCACTGCCAGGCTGCGTGACTGTTCCACTTTCCTTCCTGAACTGAACTTCCAATATATGACTCTCTTGTGGAACCAGAATGCTCCCACTGTAATTGTCTGGGGGGGGGGGGGGGGGGGGCGGTTGTGTGTAAAAGTATGCCCCCTCCTCCAGCCCAGAATTGTAGTTTAAAAAAAAAATTCTAGTTAATACAATATATTTTTGCATAACTGAACTGCCTTTCTTCCAGAGGACAGATTCCTAAACCTGGAATTGCTGGATCAAAGGGAGTAGACCTTTGCTACTTGGATATTATCAAATTACCACAGAAGGACATCAGTGCACAGGCCTCCAACAGCGCTTGTCGTGGCTCCCCTGCCAATGCGCAAGGGAGTTTCTAACATGAATCACTGTGCCGGTGGATTCGTGTTTTCTGATCAAAGAGAAGAGATAAGACATCTACAATTATTCTTATTAAATTAATACCCCAAAACAACTACTTCTAATGTCCTAATATTTTATTGGCTTTCTCCCCAACTTTTTTTCTATGCACACACAATTTTTTAAAAATATATTTTTGTTGATTTTTTACAGAGAGGAAGGAAGAGGAATAGAGAGTTAGAAACATCGATGAGAGAGAGACATCGATCCGCTGCCTCCTGCACACTCCCCACCTGGGATGTGCCCAAAAACAAGGTACATGTTCTTGACCAGAATCAAACCTGGGACCCTTCAGGCCAACTCTCTGTCCACTGAACCAAACCAATTAGGGTTGCACACACAATTTTAAAAAACAGAGTAAGCCCTGGCCAGTGTGGCTCAGTTGATTGGAGCATCCATACACCAAAAGGTGGCAGATTTAATTCCAGGTCAAGGCACATACCCAGGTTGTGGGTTTGATACCCAGTTGGGGCACCTACAAGAGGCAACCAGTTGATGTTTCTCTCTCACATCGATGTCTCTGTTTCTCTCTCACATCGATGTCTCTCTGTTTCTCTCTCAACCTCCTATTTATTAATGAAATAAATAAAATTGTCCCATTTCTGATGTTTAAAAAAAGAAAAAGAAAAAACAGTAATATGTGAGAGGTTAGAGTACATAGCTGAAAGATCAAAGGTTATGAGCAAAGCAGACCTGACTGTGGCTTGGATAGGTCACTTTATTTCTCTGAGCCAGTTTTCGCATCCACAAAATGAGCATAAGGTCACTTACCATACAGAATTGTTAAATGGATCAGTGATGATTTATGAAAGTATTTTCACATAGTCATTGGCAGATAGTAGGCAGTCAGTTGTTTGCTGCTATTAATAGTATTTCACATATTAAGTGTCTTACATTACCTCAAGGCTAAAGTATTTATTTGTTTTGATAAGTTGGAACTTTGTGGAAAGTTTGCTTCCAGTACACAACTTCAAAAAAATTCTCCTATCACTTTCTCCACCACAGATTGCTTTTAACTTTGACAGAGGAAGAATTTTCAAGGGCACCATATACCATAGAAAACAGCAGCCACAGAAGAGCCATCCTCATGGAATTGGAGCGTGTCAAAGCACTAGGCGTGAAGCCCCCCCAAAATCTCTGGGAATATAAGGTGAATTCTTTTTTTTTTTTTTAATTGAAAAGAGTATAGGGAACAACTTAAATCATCTGCATGCCCAACTGCTTAAGAAAACATCACAGCCCTGCCTCCTATATAGTAGGTCCCACAATCCTACAATGGGGCTGCAAGCACTATGAGCATTGTTCTATAGGTGTTTTTGTTGTTGTTTAATATATTTTATTGATTTTTTCTACAAAGAAAAAGGGAGAGGGAAAGAGAGCTAGAAACATCGATGAGAGAGAAACATTGATCAGCTGCCTCCTGCATACCCCAACTGGGGATGTGCCTGCAGCCAAGGTATATGCCTTTGACCGGAATTGAACCTGGGACCCTTGAGTCCACAGGCCGACGCTCTATCCACTGAGCCAAACTGGTTAGGGCTGTTCTATAGGTTTTTAACCTTAACCTAATAAGCATGAACTGAGCCTGTCCTTCTGCAAGTGGTGTTTATCTCTGCGGCTCTAGTTCATTCGTTTTCTCTTGTGGGCAGTTTTCCATTGCACTAATTTGTGACAATGTGGTGCATTCTCCTGTTGGTGTACACTGAGATTATTCTCATTTCTGTATTAACTGTGTATGTTTATGTGGTATTATTATAATAATTCATGGGCATGGGGGTAATTAATGAGAAAAATGTCTTTTAAGGACTTCTTAAGGGATAATAATGAAAAAATGTTGGGAAACAATACTTTAGAATGAAGTATTCCCGTATATGTTTATGTTTCACCTAAGTTAGGACACAAAGTTTTATTTTTAGAAGTTAGACTTTATGAAAACTATTAGTATGGGAAATTTCAAACATACACAAAAGCAGGATAAAAACTGCTATCTGTCCATACCAGGGCCATGTCTATTTCAACAATACCCCCACCTAAAGATTATTTTGAAAATCTGAGAGGATTTACCCCTTAAGGAGCCCTTAAAAGACTTGACTTGGGGAGTTGAATACATAATACAATATACAGATGATGTAGTATAGAATTGTACACTTGAAACCTATATAATTTTATTAATCATTGTCACTCCAATAAATTCAATTAGAAAGGGAGGGGGGGGAATAAAGCCAGATAAAGACTGAAAAAAATAAAAATAATTAAAATACCACCATTGTACCCCCCAAAATAATTCTCTATATATTATCACTTGTCAGTATTCAAATATCCCACATCATTTTTTCTCCCAGTAGATTTGTTCCCAACAGGGTACAAACGAAGTCCACTTTCGGTTGTTATATCTCCTAAGTCTCTTAGTCTATGGGTCCTCCCCCTTGCTTTTGTTATCTTGTATTTATTTGTTGAAGAAACCAGATAATTTGTCCTGTAGTTTTCCCACATCTTGAATTTTGCTAATTATCTCTGTGTTGTCACCCAACAGGTCCCTTTGTCCCTTACATATCCTGTACTCTAGTAATTTGATCTAGAGGCTTGCTTTGGTTTCATTTTCTTATTTTGGCAAGACTACCTCATAGATAATGGTGTTTTCTCCCATCAAGAGGCTCGCCCTATCTAATAAAGAGGGAATATGCTAATTGACCCTCACTCGTGTCATCACAAAAATGATAGCACTTACACCCAATAAGAAGGAAATATGCTAATTGACTACCCCACCCTTAAAGATGGTGGCACCCACAACCACAAGATGGTGGTGCCCAGTCCCCTCAGCCCCGCAGGGGTAACAGGTGGGCCTTGTTGCTCTGCAACCTTCCTCCGGAATCCCTCAGCCCCTTTAGCCCCCCAGCAGCCCTGGGCTGGCCCAGGGTGCAGGCAAGCCTTCGATGGCAGCTGCCCAGCCTCCCAGGGCCACCTGAGGCTCAGGTAACCAGGGCTGGCTGAGGCTTGTGCTTCCAGCAGTGGCAGCAACAGAGGTGTGATTGTTGGGTCGCCTCCCACTCCTGAGGGCTCCTGCCCCTGAGATAGGGCAGGCCAGGCTGAGGGACCCCCCCCTTCCAGTACATAAATTTTCATACACTGGGCCTCTAATATAAATAAAAGCCTAATATGCAAATCGACCAGACAGTGGAACGACCACCCGCTATGACACGCACTTACCACCAGGGGGCATGCGCTTAATGCAGAAGCTGCTCCCAGCACGCAGGCCCTGATTGCCCAGTTGGAGACTGCTGAGCAACCTCTTGGTCCCTTCCCGCAGCCAGCAGGCTCCAATCTCCCCAGGGTAACGGGGAACCAGGGTGGATGGTGGCAGACCTGGGCAGCACCAGGCCAAGGTGGGTGCAAGTGAGTGGGGCCCCAATCACCCCGCCAGTCGCCCCACACACAGACGGTGACTGGTGGCGGGGACGGGGACGGCTGCCAGCAACCAGGAAAGATCCACCCTGATCTTTCTTTAGGATCATTAACTGTAGATTTTAACATTCTTGATGTACTTAATCATTTCAGTAATTATTCTAATTGATGCTCATATTTGTTCATGAGCATTTTCCAAAACTTTTCATAGTCATTTTTCAGTGGTTAAATATCTACTGCAACTTTATTACTTAGGTCGCAGATTTTATTTTTTCTCTATCATATACAATGCAATGCTAAGCATTTTGTACATAAGACCTTCTTCACTTCAGAATATGTTTGTTAAGTGGTGCCCACTAATAAATTGGTTAAATTAAAACATTTTTAAGAGTGATACATTTTGGCCCTTGCTGGTTTGGCTCAGTAGATAGAGGGACAGTCTGTAGACTGACATGTCATGGGTTCAATTCCGGTCAAGGGCCCATACCCAGGTTGTGGGCTTGATCCCCAGTAGGGGACATGCAAGAGGCAGCTAATCAATGATTCTCTTTTGTCATTGATGTTTCTATCTCTCTTCACCTTCCCTCTCCTCTGAAATCAATAAAAAAAATATTTTTTAAAAGAGTGATTAATTTTGCAGAATTGCTTTCTAAAAAGGTTGTGTTCTTTTTATTTTTTTAATATATTTTATTGATTTTTTTACAGAGAGGAAGAGAGAGGGATAAAGAGTTAGAAACATCGATGAGAGAGAATCATTGATCAATTGCCTCTTGCACAACCCCTACTGGAGATGTGCTCGCAACCCAGGTACATGCCCTTGACTGGAATCGAACCTGGGATCTTTCAGTCCCCAGGCCGACGCTCTATCCACTGAGCCAAACTGGTTTCGGCTAAAAAGGTTGTGTTCTACTAGTGGTGCCTCGGAATATGCTTCTCACTCCTCCTCCCCTTCCTAGCTGTGGAGAGAGGTTGGATCTTTATATAACTTAGCCTCCTCTCTCCATCTATTCATTCATTGTTTATGCAAACAATGCAAAAAATGGCTGATGGCAAAGGGCATGAGGTTGCAGACAGAGTGTAGGTGGGAGCTGGCTGCCATGGCTATAATATGGCCTTGTGCTCACTGTCTTCTGCAGGCTGTGAACCCAGGCAGGTCCCTGTTCCTGCTGTATGCCCTCAGGAGTTCCCCCAGGCTTGGTCTGCTGTACCTCTACCTGTTTGACTACACAGACACCTTCCTACCCTTCATCCACACCATCTGTCCTCTGCAAGAAGACAGCTCCGAGGAGGACATCCTCACCAAACTTTTGGTAGGTCTGCGGAGTGCCTTGAATGAACTTATTCTCCCATTTCTCAGCGTGCTGCAGAACTGGAGACACGGCGGTAGCCTGTCATAAAGAGTAAACAACTCCTGGCTTTCATTTGGATTTTGTAAGGAGATCCCTTACAAAAGAAAATAAAGAAGGAATGTTTGCTCTGGCTGGTTTGGCTAAATGGTGGGAGCATCAGCCCAGGAGGACCAAAGGGTTGTGGGCTCAATTCCCAGCCAAGGGCACTTACGTTGCAGGGTTGATCCAGGGTCAGGGTGTGTGCAGGAACAACCACTAGATGTGTCTCTCTCAGACCGATGTTTTCTTTCTCTCCTCCACCTCCCTCCCCTCCATTCTCTCTGAAAAAATTAATGGAAAAATACCTTTGGGTGAGGACTTTTTTTAAAAAGAACTTTTTCACCCCAAAAACCTCTTTTGTTTCCCACGTTGCATAGCAAGAGGGGCTACCTTCTGGACTTAAAATGTATAGGAGGGAAAACCAGCATTTCTTTTATTATAAAGGAGAGGACAGGTCCAGATTGTCTGAGGGTGAGATTACGAGTCTGCTAGCTTGGTAATCTGTCTTTAATAGGATCCCCAAAGGGTGAATGATTGCTTTTCTTACCACAAGACAGGGATATAACAGTAAGCCAGCGTCCAGCTCACTGATGGAAGTCCTTTATAACCTGAAATGGTTGCCCATCATGGCCCTTGTTTCTTCAGTTTGACCCATGGATTCTTCAGAATCATTGGTGGATCCCATCGATTAGGTGATTTCTTGTGTTTTGAGGGTATATTGTCCTTTGCATTGCTGCTCTTGGGCAATCCCTCTGATCTGTTTACATCAAAAAGTCACATAGGCCCTAACAGTTTGGCTCAGTATAGAGGGTTGTCCTCCAGACTGAAGGGTCCGAGGTTCGATTCCAGTCAAGGGCATGTACCTTGGTTTCGGGCACATGCCCAGTAGGGGGTGTGCAGGAGGCAGCTGATAGATGTTTCTCTCATAGATGTTTGTCTCTATCCCTCTTCCTTCCTCTCTATAAAAAAAAAATCAATTAAAAAATATAAATATATTTTAAAAGTCACATGGATATAGGAATTGTCATTTATGATCCACACCCACAAATGTTGAAATAGAATTCCTAAATCTCCTAATGTCCTTTTTAAAACATTTTAGGCAAGTATCCTACCTGACTTCAGCCTTGGATATAGTTTAAAGCCTGCTAATGAGCCCCTTTGCACAATGTTTCTTTAATTACCCACTTTCTAGCTGTTACTGCCTTGCTGGACTGGGAGCTTAGAAACTTACCTGACCTTTCCATTTAACAAGCCCAGCAACCCCTGCCTGTGCATCAGGCTAATTTGTTTCTTGGAGTACTCATTGCACACAATCGTGCTGACCTTCCATTAACTTCTGGATGCCTCTGAATTGTTTAAATACCTTTGTTAATTATCTGCTATCTGTAATCAGATATTATTTTCCCAAAAATTATTTTTCCAAGGTTTGTCTTTAATTTTTCCATGACCTATTAACTTTCTACCACAGCTAAGACGTTGAATTTAGGAAACTGAGCTACACATGCAGTGATGATGAAATTATAAAACTGGTTCATTTCAATTCATATCAACCCCATTTTTTATCATTCATGATTAGATTTTTACTTCTGAACTTCTAGAATTATGTAACAAGCATCTCAGTTCAACCTTTTTGGTAATATTTAGCCATTGTAAGATTAATTATTATAAGGTGAGTTGATGGAAATTTCATTTTAGATGGTTTAGGGGGGTGTGTGTGTGTGTGTGTGTGTGTGTGAATAAATGTAAAATTCATTGGAATAACCACAATATTATATTTTGTATAAAAGTTGATCTTCATAATTTTTTTATCCATTTTTATTTGTGTGTTATTTTTAAAGGATCTTAGAGAGCCCACATGGAAGCAGTGGAGAGAATTCCTTGTCAAATACTCCTTCCTTCCGTACCAGCTGATTGCTGAATTTGCTTGGGACTGGCTAGAAGTCCATTATTGGACGTCTCGATTTCTCATCGTCAATGCCATGTTACTCTCGGTTCTGGAATTATTCTCCTTTTGGAGGATCTGGTCAAGAAGTGAACTGAAGTAAGTGTGTTTTTATATTGGATATAGTTGGAGCCACGGGGACTGGAAAAGGTGTCTAAAGTATTAGACACAAAGACTCCTCGTGCTCTGGTTTTTAAGCACCTACTTAAGCAGCAAAGAGGAAAAGTCACCTTGTGGTAGCAGGGTGGAGAGGTTTTCATGGTGCTCATTGTTAAAGTGTTTCTCCATATATCTTATCCCACGTACCCAACCACATAATTCCTGGGAGTGGAGGGTGTACATGGAAGATTTTAATAATTAGCCGAAACCGGTTTGGCTCAATGGATAGAGTGTCGGCTTGGGGACTGAAAGGTCCCGGGTTCGATTCCAGTCAAGGGCATGTACCTTGGTTGCGATCATATCCCCGGTAGGGAGTGTGCAGGAGGCAGCTGATGGATGATTCTCTCTCATCGATGTTTCTAACTATCTCTCTCCCTTCCTCTCTGTACAAAATCAATAAAATATTTAAAAAAAAAAAAAAAAGATTTTAATAATTAGGGGATAAAGAAGTGGGAAAATGAAAGTGTTTATAAAAAACAACAGCATTATGGTAAAGCATATGGTGAAAGATCTTGTGGGCATGAGTTCTAATCCTGCTCTGCTGCCAACTGGAGCAGTAATAAAGTCTCTGGATCAATGCCTAAACTGAGAATCGGACTAGACAGTCACTTGGTTGCAAGTGACAGAAACCAATCTGAATTGGCTTTCCTAAAAAGGGAAATGCCCAGTTAAGGCTTCCCACTTAGCTGGATGCAGAGACCTAAATGCAACCATCCAAACTGGCGCTGTCTCCCTCTTGCAACTTGGCTCTTTCCTGTTGGTCAGCCTTAGGCAGCCTCTTTAAGTGGGGGCCTTGGGTCGCTCCACACATAGATCGGAGCAGCTTAGCACTTGTGGAAGGACAGCACTTCTTTCCCTCTAGTACTCGTGAGTCTCAGGGCTCACATGCCTTTCTCTGATTGGCCCAGTCTGAGTCACTTGCTCACCTGAACCCATCGCTTGGTACAGGGTACGTGGGGCTCTCCTTGTCCAGGCTCAAAGCAGGTACTCATCCCCCACCAGGGCTGGCTTCAGCCCCACCCAGACCACATGAAAGAGTACAGGACGGAGGCACCCCTAAAGGAAAACTTAGAAGGTGTTGTTAGAAGAAAGGAATGGCTGCTTGGCAGGCAGAAGCAACATTACCACAGTATCCTTCCTATGTAACTCACAAGGTCTTGGCTTCATCAGTCAGGAGCAGCAGCATCAATAGTTCTGAGAACCTGACAAGACTCTCCCTCATTTATTTCAATTCAGTGAGCTCCTTTCTTCATGTACAGTAATTGAGCCCCTTCTCCGCCCCTGGCTTTCTTCTGGGCACTGCAGACTTTTGATAACTAGACAGTCTTTACTCTGAAGGTCTACAGCCTTGCAGAGAAAATATGTATATTAAATATATACAAATGAGACACGGGATGAAGCAAATGGAGTTGGGGCTGGAATGGGGATGCCTCACCTGGTGTAGATAGCGCCTTGGAGAAGCCCCGTCTAGGCTGAGCCTGGGAGTTGAAGATGGATGGGTCAGGCAAAGCTGTGGCTCAGGCAATGGGGACAGAAAGCAAGGCCACCTGACTCTGCACTGGGAGACTGCCAAAGTCTGAGCACTTTGGTGTTGTCTGTAGAATTGCCAGCACTATTCCACCTCTCAAATGCTTCTCCTCTTTTTCAGGACTGTGCCTCAGAGGATGTGGAGCCATTTTTGGAAAGTATCAACACAGGGGCTTTTTGTGGCCATGTTCTGGCCCCTCATTCCTCAGTTTGTTTGCAACTGCTTATTTTACTGGGCCCTGTACTTTAACCCAATTATTAACATTGATCTTGTGGTCAAGGAAGTCCGACGGCTGGAAACCCAAGTTTTTTGAGTGGCACTGCCCACGCTCTGAGGGACTCCTGCAGCCTCCCTGACATCTGAGCTTCGATGCTTAAGTGAAGAGAGGTTGGGCGCGCTCGACTTCCTATTTTCTTTCCCTAGTAAACAAGGTGCTGCTTTCTCTGTCAAAGCCTACAACCAGGTCCTCTCTCCCTCTGCCTGTGTCATGTGGCAGCAGGGACTGACATCCCAGAGCTGGGCCGACACAGCAGCAGCACCTCCTATCTACTTCTTGCTCACAGGAACTTGGGAGGCCCCGTCCCCTACCGTTTGCAAGAAACCAGGGTCCTCAGAGGACGTGGCGTGGGTGACATCAGAAGGCTGCCACAACAGCAGTCCTAACTCCAGTGATTGACAAAGGCTGCCAGGGCAAGCTGGAGTTGTGAGACTCAGCCCAAGATCCGGCTTATTGGAGGCAGGCCCGTCCTCTAAGTCAAGTTTAGGAAAATGGGAGAAGACTTTGTCATAGGCACAGACAGTTGCACACAAAAAAATACAGAGGAAAAACCAAAATTCTGTAGACAATTGTTTTTATTGAAGAGTTGCTAAGAGGTTGAAGAGTTAAATACCTAAAAGATTCAGTTTGAGACCAGAATGACGGTTACACTCATCCTGTTTCTAACTTCTAATCATTGAAAGTTTGGATCTCTTTCTCTGAATTGGAGGATTGAGTGGGATGTCAGGGTATTAACAGAGGGTAATTGATATCAGGCTGTGCTGCCTCAGTGCTACTTAAAATTGTCCCCGGCCAGGTGGCTCAGTTGGATTGCCATCCTGTACACCAGGTTACAGATTCAAGTCCCAGTCTGGGCATGTACAGGAGGCAACCAGTCAATGTTTTTCTCACATTGATGTTTCTCTCCTTTCTCTAAAATCAATTTTTAAAAATTAAAAAACAAACAAACATATCCTCAGGTGAGGATTTGAAAAATTGTTTTGTTTTGAGGTTTGCTTTGTTTTGAATAATGTAAAATCCAGGATAGTTCTTTTGTTTAATGAAGCATTTTATACATTGACCTCACACTGTATAATCTTTATCATCTTGTTCTGATGTATAAAACAGCAAGTGTAATTACACAAAATGTAATTGTAAATATGAATGAGATGAACTATGCCTCTTATTTCATTCTAATGTGATCCATGACAGGCCTTGAGACAAATTGCGTCCAAAGGGTTTCTTTGTGACTCCATGAATCATTCATTAATCCTTTGTATCTCTGAAGATTTCACTCAGACTTTGCATCTGAAAGTTTAAAGAAATTACTTGAAATAAAAATAAAATATTTTTTATAAAGACAAAACTTCTGTAGAAAAAAAAAATTGTTTAGAAAAAAATGATGAAAATCTGAATTGCTCACTACAACCTACTAGTCATGCTGAAGTCTCCCTGCCTGATGGGAACGTTGAGTCTAGGAGTCACCCTAAGGTATCTTACGTGAAAGGAGGGAAAATGTTTTTTTCCTCCTGTGTTTGCTCATCAGGCCCAGGACTGCCTGAAACACCCATGACTCGCCGGAGACGCTGACGCACTGCAAGTTTGGGGACACTGCAGTATTTGCACATCCCTGGTCTCCTGCCTTGAGGGGTTGCTGTTCTTTCCAGATAAAGAGATGGAGACTGTGTGGCATTAGTGGAGCAGGACACAGGCTGGATTATAGGTTGCCAGACTCCTAGAATAGTGCCCTCCACCCACTCCCCATATTCTACTTCAAATGGGGTGCTATCTGCTGGAACCTGCCGGCAACGAACAGTACCTGAATGGGGGTGAGGATAAGAAAAAGACAGACAAGAACAGATGGGGTCGGGAGGGCTCAGTCCTGAATTTTATTTTTCCAACCTTTAAATACAATTCTGAAGGAGGAAATATTTATTTCAGGCAATCGTGCAGGTGGCTGTTTCTGCTAACATGATGAGTTCCTGTACAGATAAGTTCCTTCAGCACCTGACCTTTTACAACCATCTGACCTTTTACAACCACCTATCTTCCTTTTAACTCTGCAGCTCCTTCTGTGTCACCAGGCTACTATCAATTGTTTTACCCTAAAGCAAAGACATCTGCAGTTGGCAGCATTCCTAGGGGTAGTAGTAATTTTCCACTTAGGTTAATGGAAAGGGGAGCACATGGAGAGCTGTGTCCTACACCCATGCTTGCATTCAGGCATATGGGACCCCTCCATTCGGGGCAGCTCCCCACAGCTATCCATATCTGCTCAGGGGAGAGCCAAAGAGACCTGCCCTAGAGCAAACGGGCTGGGCTGGACTTGCACTAATTGTCAGCAGGAGGACAGGTACTTCAGAGCCACAGCTGCCTCTGCTCCCTCAGACCTCAGTCATAGCAGGTTTACATGCATCAAAAGAGGGTGTCCATTTAGAATATTCAGACCCTTCGAAGAGTTCCATTTCTGCAAATCTGAGCTAAGGGATGATGAAAAGGTGGGCTATGGGTTTGGCAGATGTATTCACAAGTGTTGCCAACACATGAATAATTGGTCAAAATAGGAAACCACCAATACTCTAAAGTGAGCAATTTATAAACTGGCACATAATACCTATTTAAAATGGAGTTTCCAGCCCTGGCCAGTTTGTTCTGTGGTTAGAGCCTTGGTCTGAGACAAGGGTGGTGGGTTCGATTCTGGTCAAGGGCACATAACTCAGTTGCAAGCTTGATCCCCAACACATGTGGGAGGCAACCAGTCGATATGTCTTTCTCAAAATCAATGGGGGAAAAACATTTCCTCAGATGAGATTAGCAACAAAAAATTAAATATTGTTTAATGGCATGGAGAAAAGCTTAGGAAAAACAAAGAGTTTCAACTACGTTTTAAAGAATAGTTTGTTGATTTTTAGAGAGAGTAAGGGAGAGAGAAACAGTGATCAAGCCCACAACCTGGGGATGTGCTCTGAGCAGGAATTGAATCAGCAAATTTCCATGCATGGGATGATCCCCAACCAACTGAGCCACACCAGCCAGGATTCAACTACATTTTTTTTTTAAATATAGAAAAGACTGATGGACAACAAACTAAAATGCTAAAATTGGTCATTATGGTTTGTGAGAAATGGGATAATTTTTTCCCCTTTATATTTCTCTGTATTTGCCTTTTTTTAGAAAGCAGTGATAATTTGCCTTTTTTAGAAAGCAGTATTTTATAATCAGGAAATAAATTTTAACTAGTAAAAATGGGGTAGGATGGCCCTGGTTCGTTGCTTAATGGTGAGAGCATTGGTCTACAAAGGTGCTGGGTTTGATTCCCGGTCAAGGGCATGTACCTCGTACCTTGATTGCGAGTTCCCCAGCACTGGTAGGGGCCCATGCGGGAGATAGCCAATTAATGTGTCTCTCATATTAATGTTTTTCTCTCCACCTCCTCCCTCCCTTCCACTCTCTAAAACTCAATGGAAAAAGTATCCTCAGGTGAGAATTTAAAAAAAAAAAAAAAAAAAAAAAGGTGGAGTAGGATGAGCAAGAATACTCTTTCTTGAGCTAACAATTACTAGACCTGAACTTCACAAGAGTGGATGATATCATGTGGTCATCCTGTTTATTGCCTCAACCCAGAACTTAGAACAAGGCCAGGCACTTAGCAGGTGTTTGTTCAGCAAGAGCAGGTTAGAAGACAAGCTCAGCCTTTTCAGAAAAGTTGAACCTCAAACATGGTACCAGATCCAATACAGTTACAAACACTGTCATGGTTTTGTAAATAGGCATGGGGTTTTGACCTTAGTCAAGCTGGCAACCAAACAGGCTCCAGCCCCAAATTTGGAGAGGGAGGAAGAACACACACAGGTTGCAGCTTTAACCCTTTAACTCGGATCCCCTCTGAATATGAACTGAATGTGGCTGTTGATTAGTGAAAAAAGAGTTTTATTTTCTTGTGCAAAACATTTCAAGTCAAACTAGTCAGTCACATTTGAGCGGGCCCGACCCACATAAGAAACGTGGATAGAAGAGGTACTTTAAATGGTACTCAGCTGGGGCTAAGCAGTAAGCAAGCTCCTGGTCACACTTGCACAAAAGTTCTTCACATTTATCCTCCGTTGGTCCTGAAAGAAATGGGGAAACTCAGGTTAGAGCAGAAACTTGCAGAGACTTGAGGCTTAACATGCAGGAAACCAGTAACTCTGTTGGCAGTAAGGGTCATAAATTGTATGCATGTGACACTTGACAATTCACTATGTGGTCTCCATCGTCAGGGCAGCTCCAGGAGGGAGTGCTATTGGCCCCATCTTGCTGAAATGGAAATGAAGTTGTCAGAGAAGTGTTTTGAAACGCTGAGTCCAAAGTCCATTTGAGCTAGCTTCTCTTTTGTATCAATATTACACAATTTCATTTGATGATCCATTAGCAGTAGGGAACCTTTAAGGCCTTTTTTTTTTTTTTTTTTTTTTTTTTTTATGCCTGTTCTGCTGTTTCCTAGCTGTGTGATCTTGCCTAAATGAGTCAAGTCCTCATTTAAAATGGGGCATTATTCACTTTGCAGGATTACTGGGAAGCCTGGGTGAGGACGCCTACGTCATGTGCCCAGGAGAGACTTGGTACTGAACCTGCACTCGATCAACATTGAACGTAGTAGATATGCGCCTATAGCACATCACTTCATCCTCCCTAAGCGGTTCCCTGAAGTGCAACACAGGGATACTAATAGTACCTACTTCTAAGGACTGTTGAGAGAATGGAAAGAGACCAAATGGGTAAAATGCAGGAGATACAGGATACTAGTAAGCTGAAGCTGACCTCCTAAAGTTGCCGCTACTCTGACATTCATTATAAAAGGATAGCCCCCACACCACATCCCTGCTTTTTTATTGAGAAAAATTCCCATATCAAAATTTACCGTTTAAAAGTGCACAAATCAGTGGGGTTTAGTACATTCATAATATTGGGTAACCATCACCTCTATCTAGTTCCAAAACATTTCTATCACCCCAAAGAGATCTTGTACACATAAAGATGTTCCCAAAACCTCTCTCTTGTGTCTGCCAACCATTAGATCTGCCTATTATGGATATTGTAAACACTTGGAATCATACAGTATGTGATGTTTTGTGCCTGGTTTCTTGCACTTAGCTCCTTGTCTCACATTTTCAAGGTTCATCCATATTGTAGCAGATTAAGTACTTCACCTGCTTTATTTTCTGACACAGCAGTTATAAAAGCACTTGGCACAGACAATTTCCCATTCTCCTTTTAGACTTCTCTTTTTTTATTTTTTATGTTTTTATTAATTTCAAAGAGAGAGAGAAACATCAATAATGAAAGAGAATCATTCATTGGTCTTCTCCCACACACCCACTACTGGGAATCGAGCCCGCGACCCCAGCATATGCCCTGATCAGGAACAAGCCATGACCCCTGATTCATGGGGTCAACTTTAAACCACTGAGCTACACCAGCTGGCCTACACTTCTCTGTCTTACCTAAATCCTAGCATAGAGACTGGCACAGAATATATTCTCAATAATATTTGTTGAGAGAATATGGAAAAGCCATACATCATTTCCAATTCTCACACAAACACTGCATCTAATTGTTACTATTCCCATTTTATGGATGGGTAAAGTGAGGGAAGCTCAGTGGAATTCAGTAGCTTGTCCAAGGACACAGAGCTGGAAAGGGGTGTTCCAGGACTATAGCCCAGGATCTAATGATCCTGCACCTGTACCTCCCTTCTGCTCCCACCCTCATCTCTGAGCAAGAAAGATTCTTTCAAAAGCAAGACTTGGTCTCACTACTCCATAGCCTCAGGAACCTAATAGCATCATGTTATTCAAGAATAATAAAAAGGTAAAAGGAAAAATAGCTCCCATGGGTTAAGTTTAAAATAAAGGCCTGCCAGTAAATATTATTATATGCTTAACATTTTTAAGTATATTTAAGTCAGGCCCATAAATGGAAAATGGGCCACACCTGTAATTAAATAAACAACTATGTTCAGAATATCTCCAAACAGAATAAGAGAATATTTTTAGTCAAAAGTGTATAATACATATTTTGGTTCTCTTCCTTTGGTTCAGGGAGGGCAGTTCTGTAAACAGGCACAGACTCCATCAACAAATACTTTACAAATTCCATCTTAACATGGTTAGGGGCAAGTTGAAGGGAAGAAGGGGAAGATCTTTAAGATTTCCAACTCAAGGCCCATTTCACCTCCTCCCCGCTCACACCGGAAGGGGCAGTTTGGGGACAGGGAACGTGCCCAAGAGTAGGCACCTCACCATCACGTCAGGCAAGTCACTTCTTTCCCTTTCTTCAGTTTCTCCGACTCCATAGGAGAGGGCTGGATGAGATGATGCCTGGGCCACTTTCAGTCCTAAACACTAATGTTGTCTCTCAATATGAAGTCAGCCTTGTTCTTATGCCAGGAGATATGGCTGAGGATCGGTGCCTATCTGAGACCATCCTTCTAGTAACTCCTTGCCTCCTTTCCTCCAGAACAGACCACACTGCAGGAGCTAGGGTTCCAGTGGAAAATCACATCAGAACCTCAGTTCTCTCTAGTGGGAGGTAGTGGGTAAGAGAGAGCTTCAGATCAGGATGAGAGAGGGAGGAGTAGAGATGGGAGAGAGTAGTAACCTCTGCCCAATCTGTTTGTCAAATTATAAACCCTTGTTTCATCTCTGCTACATGCATCTTCAAGATAAGGAAACTGAGCACCGGAGAGATCATCCATCTAGGACCAAGAGATTTTCAACAAGGGAAAGAATAGTTTCTTATACAAACAGTACTGGGACAACTGGAGAGTCCATGCAAAACAATGAAGTTAGACCTTTACCACACACCATATACAAAAATTAGCTCAAAGTGGATCAATGACCTAAATGCAAGATTCAAATGATAAAACTATTAGAAGGAAACAGGGACATAAGGCTTCATGGCCTTGGATCTAGCAATGGGTTCATAGATAGGACACCAAAGACATGACCAATAAAAGACAAAATAGCCCTGGCCAGTTGTTCAGTGGATAGAGCATCAGCCTACAATTGAAGGGTTCTATTAATAGGTTCAATTCTGGCCAAGGGCACATGCCTGGGTTGTGAGCTTGATCCCCAGTAGGGGATGTATAGAAGGCAGCCAGTCAATGATTCTCTCTCATCATTGGTATTTCTATCTCTCTCTCCCTCTCCCTTCCCCTCTGAAGTCAATAATATATATATATATATATATATATATATATATATATATATATATATATATATTTTTTTTTTTTTTTTTTTTAAAGAAAAGAATATGAAAAGAGCCTTGGCCAGTGTGGTTCAGTGGTTGAGACTCAACCCATGAATCAAGAAGTCACTGGTTCAATTCCCAGTCAAAGCACCTGCCCAAATTTCAGGCTCAATTCCCAGTAGGGGTTGTGTGGAAAGCAGCTGATCAATGAGCTTTCTCTCTCATCCATGTTTCTTCTTCCTCTCCCTCTCTCTCTAAAAATCAGTAAAAACATTAACAAAAACCATTTTCAAGAAAATGAAAACAGCCCTGGTGGGTGTGACTCAGTGATGAGAAGGTCAGCCTGAGCACCGAAGGGTCCAAGGTTTGATTCCCAGTCAAGGGCACATACCTGGGGTGCAGGTTCGTCCCCTCCCCAGGCTGTCTTTCTCACATTCTCTCTCTCCCTCTCTTTCTCTCTCTCCTGTCTCTGTCTCTGTTTCTCCTTCCCTTGTCTCCGTCCCTTCTACTCTCTCTTTCTCTCTGAAAAGCAAAGGAAAAAATATCCTTGGCTGATGATTAACAAAGAAAGGAAAAAGAAAGAAAGGAAAAAGATAACCTATAGAATGGGAGAGCATATTTGTAAGTCACATATCTCATAGGGATGCAATACACAGAATATATTAAAAACTCTTATAACTCGCTGAAACCAGTTTAGCTCAGTAGATAGAGCATCAGCCTGCGGACTGAAAGGTCCCAGGTTCGATTCCAGTTGCGGGCACATCCCCAGTGAGAGGTGTGCAAGAGGCAGCTGGTCGATGTTTCTCTCTCATCGACGTTTCTAACTCTCTGTCCCTCTCAATTCCTCTCCGTGTAAAATCAATAAAATATATATTTTAAAAAAAAAACTCTTATAACTCAACAACAAAAAGACAAATAACCCAATTAAAAATGAGCAAAACACCTGAATAGTCATTTCTCCAAAGATACAAAAATGGCCAACAAGCACATGAAAAGATGCTCAACATCATTAGAGAAAAGCTAATAAAAACCATAATGAGATATACTAATCACCCCCCTAATAAATACCGTCTCTAAGAAAGTAATCTGTCCATCCATCCTCCACCCACATTTTTTAATTTTGTTTCATTGCATGTAAAAGTAATTTGCCTAAATCCCATCAGTCTGTATTTTCCTTTTCTTTTTAGCTTTTAATTCACAAATAATTCATGAAGGTAATCTTTTTTTTTTTAAATGGAAACATTACAGAGAACATAAAATTGCCTCCTATCATCACTCCCCTCGACCTGATTCTGTCCCTAGAAATGACCACAGTTATCCTCAGTTTGGAGTGTATCTTTACATTATTCTGAGTTTTGCAAGTGTCCGTCCACATGTAGTTTTGGAAAGTAGTATGGCACTATTTGCAAGTTATTCTTTTTAAAACAGTGGTGCTTTATTGAACATGTCATTCTGCTGTTTGCTTTTTCACTCAACATCTTTCCACATCAGCATATGGCTCTATCTTATCCCTTCTCCAGGCTGCCGTCTTCCACAGTGAGGCTATATCCTTCAGTGAGGATATATCATGGGTTTATATACCCAGGCCCCATCTGATGGACAGTTACGTGGTTTATATCTGGTATCATTTCTCTCTTTTTCCATTTTTGTCCAGACAGAAAAGGAATGGGTTTCTTTGGCCGTAGCTGGTTTGGCTCAGTGGATAGAGCATCGGCCTGCAGATTGAAGGGTCCCGAGTTCAATTCCGACCAAGGGCATATGCCTGGGTTGTGGACTCAATCCCCAGGAGGGGGTTTGCAAGAGGCAGCCGATCAATGGTTCTCTCTCATCATTGATATTTCCATCTCTCTCTCCTCCCTTCCTCTCTGAAATCAATAAAACTATATATTTTAAAATTATTATTATTTTTTTAAAATATATTTTATTGATTTTGTAGAGATAGGAAGGGAGAGAGATAGAGAGTTAGAAACATTGATGAGAGAGTGTCATCGATCAGCTGCCTCTTGCACACTCCCTACTGGGGATATGTCCGCAACCAAGGTACGTGCCCTTGACCGGAATCGAACCCGGGACCGTTCAGTCCCCAAGCCGATGCTCTATCCATTGAGCCAAACCGGTTTCGGCTTAAAATTATTTTTAAAGAAAGAAGAAGGTTTTTTTGTTTATTTTGTTAAGTGTTCAGCATTAACAATCATTTATATTAGATCAATCCAAAGGGTGGTCTCTGGGGAGCTGGAAGCAGTGGTAAGTTATTACAAGCAGATGCCCCAGGAGCGCCGGGGAAGGTTGGTGTGGGTGTTGCTGGGCACTCACCACATTCAATGCGCTGATCGTTGCATGTCCAGGGGTAGGACTGCAGCTTGGTGATGCAGCCAGCCTCCTTCTTGGCGCGCTGGTAGCAGCAATCATGATGATAGCAGCACCTGTGGATGGCAGCCAGGCAGACCAGCCGGTGGGTGAAGGCTGCTCTCCTGGCCATCTGTCCATGCCACGACTATGGTGAGCATCTTCTGGTCCAAACTCTGTTCCTGAGACTCCTACCTTGGGAAATACTTCTACTGACCTCGGGGGGGGGGGGGGGGGGTCCTGCATTGCCACCATCTCTAGCCATGCTCCAGCCTGGCCCCGCCTGCTTCACTCCCTTAGTCTCTGAGCTCCAGCAGAACCACGCTCCTCTCTGTGGCTAGAACGAGCCTGCCTCCACCTTTGCCCTCTGCCTAGGACCGTGGTCGGCAAACTGCGTCTTGCGAGCCACAGTCGGCTCTTTGGCCCCTTGAGCGTGGCTCTTCCACAAAATACCACAGCCTGAGGGAGTCTATTTTGAAGAAGTGGAGTTAGAAGAAGTTTACGTTTAAAAAATCTGGCTCTCAAAAGAAATTTTAATCATTGTATTGTTGATATTTGGCTCTGTTGACTGTTGCGTTTGCCGACCACTGGGCTAGGATAACTGTATGCCCACTCTTCCTCCTTTAGGTCTCAGCCTAAGTACTAGCTCCCATCCCCAGAATGTCATCAGGCCCCCTACTTCCCAGGGGGCTCCTTGTTACACCCTCCCAGAAAACCAGGGAACCTCCCTTCAGGGCAGGTTTATAATGAGACCCTCATTAGCAAGAAGGTCCTCCTCACTGACCAGAGCTCTAAGATGTGGGACCATTTCTCACAGTGTCACCAGTATCCAACCCATGGCCTGCCACATACAGGACTTTAATAATAATAATAATAATTTACTATTGAAAAATTTCCTAAGGAACACCCACAAATACCCCTAAACCTGCCCATTATTCATTCATTCACTGGTATTATCTCCACCCAGCCACCAGCCCCACGCTGTGTTGAGCCCTCAGCTGATCTGGCAGGGACAGGTCAGCCAGATTTCACTCTGCCCTCAAGGAGCTCCCAGTCTGGTGAGGGAAGCAGACAAGCCACCAGGTGCTACATGCATAGTGAGAAGTGCTGGGATGAGGGGTAAGAGAGGATTCTGGAAGCCAGAGGAGGTGCCAGGCCCAACTGGGTTTCAGGAAAGAATTCCTAGAGGAAGTTATGCCTGATCTGCATCTGGAAAGAGGTACAGGAACCAGACAACCAGAGTGTGGGAGGGCATAGCCGGCAGCAAGAGCCTTGAAGGCGCAAGGCTGAGTCAAGACTTGCTAAGGACAATCACATCCTCTAAGATAAGGAGGAGACAATCAAATCCTCTGCCACATGCTAGCTGTGGGGAAACCTTGAGTGGCTGTGCCTGAAACAGGGATGGCCATTGTGCCTGTTTTGAAGGATGGCCTTGAGGGTGACTGAGAAGTCATGGAAAGATATGCGTCCACAGTCCTGTACAGAACAGGCACTTCTCACATGACAGCAGAGGCCAGCGATTAGGGCCGTAAACCCAGCAAAACTGCTGGGTTCACATCCCTTCCTCTCTATGTGGCCCCAAGCAAGTTACTAAATCTTTCTGTGCCTCAGTTTCCTCATTTCTGAAATGGGATTGCGGTGAGGACTCCAAGGGGTTCTCCAAACAGTTTCTGGTGCACTTGAAGTCTGATCAGTTTTGTGTGGGTGGTTGTTTTTCAGCCAAAGAAATCATCCCGTAACCAGAGGGAGGGGGCAGTTGACCATGTTCCCCAGGAGGACTTCTGCCTGCAAGACAGTGCCGTGTGCCATTTCCTCAGAGGCCTTACCTTCCCCCAGAGGGTGGGAGACCCACACACAAACTCACCGGTCAATGGCATCAACGGGCTCGCCTCGGCCTCCCAGGCCACAGTAGCAGCCGTAGCTAATGTAGGCCAGAGGGTTGCGGGGGCCAACACAGTGTATGGTCCCTGCCAGTTCTACGAGCCCTCGTCGGTGCACGTGTGACTTCGAGGAAGCTGGGGAGGAAACAAAAGTTAGAGGCTGAAGGTCAGGTCTTCCCCGGGCCTGGGGAAGGTCACTGGCCTGAAAAGAGCCGGGATGACTGCCTGCCTGGGTTTGAATCCTGCTCCTCCTAGTGCCTGGCTGGGTGACCGTGAACCACTTATTCAAACTCTCTGTGCCTTGTTTTCTTCATCTATAAAATTACGGGTGTAAGTGCCTCTGTCTTCATAGAATGAAATGAGATCATGTATGTAAAGCACCTGGCATATAGCAAGCTCTAGGTATTATTACCAATATCTTCAAGGCAGCCCTGAAAGAGAAAACAAGTCACAGAGCCACAGCATCTGAAGGATCTCACCACTAGGCCCTCTCCCTGCAATGCCCTGATTCCCAATCTCCTGCCCTTGTCAATTTCTGACACGGTCAGAGTCTACGTTGTGCATTGAATGTCTGTCCCACTGCCCTCACCAGTTTGGCTCAGTGGATAGACCGTCGGCCTGTGGACTGAAGGGTTCCGGGTTCGATTCTGGTCAAGGGCATGTATGTTGGTTGTGGGCTCATCCCCAGTAGAGAGTTTGCAGGAGGCAGCTAACCAATGTTTCTCATCAATGTTTCTAACTCTCTATCCCTCTCCCTTCCTCTCTAAAAATCAATAAAATATATATTTTTAAAATGTCTGTCCCATTGCCTGTAATGAGCACTGGACATCAGAGATGAGCTAAACAGGGTCCCTGCTACCACGAGGGCTCCTCTGTGCAGGCATCTCCGTCCTTGGTTCTCTTCACCACCACTTTCATCCAGACGCTGGTTCAGGGCCCTTTCCATCTCCTATTTTCACTGCCTACGCACAGCTCCCTCCCACACAGGGAGGCCCTGGGGCCCGAGCCCAATGATGGCTCTTACACATAGCCATATGTGTCACATAGCAATGGGAACCCCTGCCTTTCACAGCCACTCAGCCAACAAGACCCTGGCTGATTGGGGGCTCTGGCCCAGGCTTCTGACTCCCAATCCAGTGCTCAGTCCTCCTTGCCCAATAACAGCAGGGGAAGGAGTCCTGCCAGGGTGCCAGAGCTGAGGGGCATCAGGGAGGGGGCCCCTGCACAGGGTCAGGCACCTCCAAGCTCTCTGTGAGGTGGGCATCAGAGAACACATACCCTGTGACTCAGACTAAGAGAGGCACAAGGACCCATCCCAGGTTACAGGGCTGGCGAGTCTCAGAGCAGACGCCCAGGCCCAGCCAGACCTGCCTGATCCCTGGGATTCTGCTCTCCAAGGCTCTGGGACTGCCAATCCAGAGATTTATGCATTACATCTAGTCATCGTGTCTCTTTTCTAGAAGAAGTTTTTACTACACTGACTCTTTTTAGGACTACAGACTGGAATTCAGTCCCGCTCGCTCTCTCAGGATTTGCCATGTGCTGCTCCCGGCTGCCCATGCTTTTGCCTGAAATCACTCTTCAGAGGAAGCTCAGGGGCCTCACAGCAGCCCAGGAGCCCTGCAGGAGCCTGCCCCTCCCTCCTCTGCAGTGTCCCCTCTGAATGCCCACCACACAGATCTTGCTCATCATTTCCTGTCCCTCCAGTTAAATTTCCCGCCACATATCTATCCTCTGCTGCAAATGCCCTCACCTCATCCGCACCCAGCTCACCTGTCAGCTCCCAGAATCTGCCTCATCCTCAGGTCAACCACAGGCCCCCTGTCCCATGGTGCTGCTATCTGCTCTTGGAGGGCAGATCTCTGCCATAGGCAGCTCCGGATGCCCTGGCACACAGCTGGCTTCCATTGACAAGATCCCTTGACCTTTGGGTCCACCAAGCCGCAGTCCAAGCATATATGGCAGGACCCCAGTCTTAATCCTATACCCCACAGCTGTCCCCAGAGGTCCCCTCCACCCTGACCTAACCACACTCTGGCATCTCAGGGTCCTGGGGACAGCCCTTCGGAGAACCCAAGCATGGGGCAGAGGCCCAGCACCGGGTTTGGAAGCAAGGAAAACACTCCCTCTTAGGTGGGGCAGGTCACGCTGGGGTCTGTTTGCTCTGTCTGCCCACGGCAGCCTTGCCAGGAGTGCCAAGGCTGCCTGGGCTTCCTATATTCCTATGGGCCTGAGGGAGAGAGAGAGAGAGAGAGAGAGAGAGAGAGAGAGAGAGAGAGTGTGTGTGTGTTCTCCTTGGGGTATCTTTGCTTGTGTCTGTGTGTGAATCTGTCCATGAGCCCTACTCCTAAGTGCCCAGGTGAGGCTGGGGGTGTGTATGTATAAGATGTGGTGTCTGTATATCTCCCTGTAAGTGTGTGCCTGCGCACCCCAAAAACGGGCAGTCACTGAGGGGACCTCTCCTCAACCTTATGTTCTTCAGCCACCCCCGGTAGGGCAGTCCCTTCTTCCCCTGCTCTTCCCCTTGGTAGTCAGACCCCGGGGACAGGTGGACACCGGGAGGGTCTGGTCGCTGAAGATGGTTACGGTGAGGGAGGGGGTGTCTGGGGAGGACACCGAGCCCCTGGGAAGGGCTAGCCCAGTTTTGGGTCCCAGGGAGGAATGGATGAGTGGAAGCTCTTGGGGAGAACTGGAGACAAGGCTCTTAGAAACCTGGTGAGAAATGTGTCAGTGAGCCAGGGAAAGGAGGGCTGGGGCTGTGGGGCTCCTGGACCTTGGAAAGGGCTGGTAAGCTGGAGTTCTTTGCAGAGGGGTGGGAAGCGGGGCTGGGGCGGAGGGAGGGCTGAAGGAGTCCCAGGAGGGGCGCGCTCCGCACTCACCTGCGCTGGGCAGGAGTCCGGGTACCAGGAGGAGCAGAAGCGGCAGCATTACTGGCTGGCACGGGGGCAGCTGACCCACAGGAAGGCGGCAGGTGTGGGGCGATCTGGCTGACCCGTGTAATATAGTCATCAAACTGGGGCCCAAGCCCCCTCCCCCGCGCCCCGCCCAGTCCCGCCCCTGCCCTCACCTTACCGCAGGGCTGGAAGGAGCCCGGCCAGGGCAGGCCCCTGGGGCGGCCAGAAAAGTCCTTCCCGGACCTCTGCATCTTGGGCAAGGGATGGGCGCTGGAGGCCAAAAGAGAGTCTCTGGCCCAGGAAGCCTCGGATTAGGGTTTGGGGAGAATTAGGGAGGGAAGTAGTTTAGCACAGGTCGACCCACCACGTAAATGCTCAAAACGGTGCTCTATTAACATTATGATTACCTGCAGTCCCCTTCCAGCCCTCACCTGGACATCCAAAAGAAGAGTTAGTTGGAGGAGAGGGGGAGACAAACTATTTTTTTGTTTGTGTGGTGTGTTTTTTAAATGTATTTTATTGATTTTTTTTTTTTAATAGAGAGTTAGAAACATCAATGAGAGAGAAACACCGATCAGCTGCCTCTTGCACACCCCCCACTGGGGATGTGCCTGCAACCAGGGTACATGCCCTTGACTCGAACCAAACCTGGGACCCTTGAGTCCGAAGCCCGACGCTCTATCCACTGAGCCAAACCAGTTAGGGAGAGGCAAATTATTTTAAACGCTTTAAATGTAGGAAACTTGCCAAAGCCGGTTTGGCTCAGTGGTAGAGCGTCGTTCTGCGGACTGAAAGGTCCCGGGTTCGATTACGGTCAAGGGCATGTACATTGGTTGCGGGCACATCCCCAGAAGGGGGTATGCAAGAGGCAGCTGATGGATGGCTCTCTCTCATCATTTCTAACTCTCTATCTCTCTCCCTTCCTCTCTGTAAAAAAATCAATAAAATATATTTTTAAAAATAAAATAAAAAATAAATAAATGTAGGAAACTTGGTGTTCCAAATACCTCTAGAAATCAACTCTGCACTGCCCCCTCCCCACCACTTCCGCCACAGTTGGGAAACTGAAGGAGTCAAAGATTTGCCCCACTGTGAGTTCTGGTGAAAGAGCTGAACTGGTGTAGGAGGGGACCTGACCTCACACCCCCTGCCCTTTCAGCCTCAGGCTTCTCATCTGGTCGAGGGTCCCAAAGCCTCCTCCAAGGGACACAGCGAGGCAGTGAAGACAGACACAGGAGGTGCTCAGCATGGAAAGGAAGTGACAGCTGTGGCACACATCTGTCCCCCTTTGTCCCTATCCAGTGTCATCGATTTCTGATGATTTCTCGTTATAACTACTTCTGAGAGTAGAACTCTCCACAGCCAAGCTCTCGTAAAAAAAAATAATAATAATAAAGGCAACTAATAATGTCGTGTTGAGACAGGCTAGTGAGTGGAACAGGGAAATTGAGACAGAGAGCTGAACAAAGGGGCAAAGCAATTCACAGCAGATACAGAAGATCACCTCCCTAGAGATAACGTCTGGCCCTCGGTTGTATTTCAGCTCCAGGCCCAGAGAAGCAGCAAGACCAGGTGGGTGACACGAGGGCCAGCTGCAATGACTAAGGACCCCCTGGCATTGATAAATCAGTAAAGATCACAATCCCCAAGGAGCACACCGGAAATGGATGGATATCCTGCTGAAACCCTCTCCTGAGACCTTCCCTAAAATTCCTGCTTGCAAGAGAGATAAAATCATCCAGACAAAGGAGCCCTCTCTCTCCTTCCCAGGACCACGCCCATGCCCTCCCCACAACTAGTTTCCCCACAGGCATGCCTAAAGGGACTTCACGAGGCTTGTAATCAGGGCAGCAAATACTACAGCAGTTAGTCCCCAGGCAAAACTCCTGCACTCGTCCCTATGGCCCCCTTTACTCTGACTTTTTAGTGAGCCAAAAGCAGACATTGTTTCATGGTTCCCCAGATTGAATAAACGTTCTCTAATATTCACCTGGACTGGTATTGTGAAGTTTTTCCTGCTCAAAGTCAAGAACCCACACACTACTGGCTGGCCCTAGGCAACAATGGCCCTAGGTAACTATGTCTCACTAGCTATAACGTGTTAAGAATCCTCACCTTTTAGAATTTTGGAGAGTGGAAGTGTGGGGGGAGAGTAAGAAAGAGAAATATTTATTGATGCGAGAGAGACACATCGACTGGTTGCCTCCCACATGTGCCCCGTTAAGGATCAAGCCTGCAACTCAGGTGTGTGCCTTGGACCGGAGACCCTTCGGTGCATGGGCTGATGCTCTTACCACTGAGCTAAACTGGCCAGGGCCAGACACATGATCTTAGCACAGCCTCAGATCTCTCTGGTGTCCCCATTTCACAGGAAAAAATTGAGGCTCAGAGAAGTTAAGAACCATGAATTGTGGGTGCCCAGATTCAAATTGGTTTCTACATGTTGCCAAATCTGCGTCTGCCTCCTTCTTGAGGCAGGATAGTAAGATGCTAGGAAAATTCGTGGGCAAGTGAAATACTGAAACAGATAGATAAATGACCAAGCAGCTTGCAACCATCTAGTAATCCTATCTTCCCTAAATCAAAGACAAGAATAAATGGCTTACACTTCTCCCCAACCAGTTTATATATAAATCACCCTACTAAGGGAGATAGGTAGCAGAAATCCAACTAGAGCCATTTGTGCCAAGGACAGAGGGAATTAAGGGAATAAATCTCATTTTGGCACATCAGCATAAAAATGATGAATAGTCTATTGAGATACTTTCCTAAGACCTCCCCTAAACTCCCAGCCTTTTTTTTTTTTTCCCAAATGAAAATACTATTTATTCCCATAACACCATAGATAGGGTCTTTGCATCAAAATCTTACCAAAGTAATACTAAAAATAGATGAGCTAGAGATATGCATATAAGACATTTTTAAGGGTGGGAAAGGCCCCATGCTTCTGATTCATCTTTCACGAATAGCTCACATTGTCCCGTGCAAGTCAGGTGGTTGACTCAGTCCCAAAGCCTCAAAATGAAAAGTCCCACCCAGCAAGAGCTCCCCATCCTGGGGAGCACACCCAAGTCTTTTCCTTCCCCGCACAGGCATGCATCGCCTAAACTCTAAGGGACCCCACGAAACTTGCAACCAGGGGAGCAGTGGTCAGTGACAGCTTGTCCTGGGCTAACCCCTGAACCTGTTTCTAAGACATCCCCTCTCTTCCCCCCACCATTCTTAGACTTACCAGTGAGCTAAAGCAACCCTGCCAGAGCTCATTTCTTTCTTATAACATTTCTAGAGAGCCAAAGCCACCCCACCTAGGCTCTCTTTTGTAGTTTCTTCTATCTTAAGCCCTTCCTTGTATCACTGTCCCCGGTTTTCATAAATGTACCCTCAAAATCACCTGGGCCAATGTTGTAAAATCTTTCCTGCACGTAAGTCAAGAATCCACACACTTACCAGCTGACCCTAGATCAGTCCCCTTTCCGGAACACTTCTATGAAAACCTAAGGCATCAGGCCATTCATCTGCCACTCTCAGTCATTCTCTCCACTGGAGTGAGCGACTCAAGGCATGTTCTCTCCTTTTGAACCCCTTACATGGGCCTGCCTGGCACACAAGTATTCAATGAGGCTCTCCAGACTCTCCAAAACATGGGATAAAAAGCGTTGTCTTTCTTCTGAGGATCTCCTATGAGCAATGGGAGATAAAATATCCCACATAACTATAAGGAGAAAGACTTTTGCTTTCAAGAAATTTCCCAATCCATGTGCACAGAGAAAACCTCATTTAAACTGGCAAGTCCATTATAATTAAAAAGTTAGGAAATCATAATTATAATCTTTAATTATAATTTAATCTAACAAAAATTGACCACTGTAACTGGTTAGCCTCAATCATCTGCAAAACTCATTCATACAGAATAATTTGCTCCTAATTATGTTAGATAACCAGGGCATTGGAGCCATTACCAAATATATTAATGTCCTACATTCTTCCCTAAATTATCATATTAAAAATGTAAATTATAAATCATGTCCAAAAGGGCCTCAGTTGAGTGTGCTGAGAGATTCGGGGTTATGACAGAAGGTGAATAGAATCAGAAATTGGTTTCACTGTGTAAGGGTGAGTTATGCATATGAATTAACTATGCTCTATTGTGGATCTCAGTTTAGCCACATCTTCAGATTTCATTCCGGTCTACTGACCAAAGGTTGCTACAAAGATTTGATGAGTAAAAGGATTTCTTCTTCTTTATGACAAAAGTGGGGACTCCTCTATGGTTAGAAGGTTAAATAACTACACGTACCAAGAAGCTTGTGAATCTGGGTGCTTTTTCTAGCTCATGAGACCACATATAAAAGAATGGTGCATCCCAATATAGACCAGCCCACCCTTTGACCTAGTAACCTGTTTCTAGAAATAGCTCTAAGAAAATAAAATACTCAAAAAGAAAAAGAAGAGAAAATACTCAGACAAGATGTATACACAAAGTTGATCCTTAACAAAGAGCAAAAACAACTGAGAAGGAACCTAAATATTCAACAATAAAAATATAGTTAAATTATGAGATTTTTCACATGCTAGAGTATGCATCATTCTAATATAGTATTTTTGAATAATATTGAATGGCCATTTAAAAATACTCTAAAAAGTAGAAATTCACAGTATAATCCTACCTTTATAGTCACAGACCACACAACTAAAAGAGAGCCGTATATAAATAAGTATATCTATATGCACATACCCACTCCAATATACACATGGGCTCTCTGGAGGGAATGGGAGGGAGAGGGAAGAAGAAAGACAGGGGGAAAAAATGAATAAAATGTATCAAAGTCTAACTTTGGTTATCTTCTGGTGGTGGAGTTGCATTATTTTTATTGTTTCTCTTAATTTTCCAAATTTCTATTAAAACCTAAACTTTTATGATTCAGATAAGAAATTAAAATAAAAACAAAATTAGACTTTAATTAAATAAAGCTTGTCTATTGAGAAAAGATATCTTGATATTATTCTAAAAACACAGAGACACAGACATAAGGATAACAATACTCATCAGTTTTTGGTTTCCCTTTTGTGGTTTTTAAAAGACTGTATTCCTGTGGTTACCAGGGGCTGCAGGGA